TCACACAGTTACCGACAATTTCAAACAGAAGTGTTCACACTTGTATCATATTTACCGATTCCTCTTCAGCCTTGGTACCTGCTCCCTGACTTTTGCTCTTGGTGAAATGCTTGTAGTTTGCTGCGTCTTTACTTGTTTGCCCCGTTTAGATCTGGCCCAGCCTGAGGGAGTTGATTCTGCACGGTCCAATGCTGGCAAGTCTGTCCCTGGCCCAGGGTACAGCTCTGCAGGTCGGATGTAGGCGGGAACAGATTTGAGATTGCAGTATTATCACAAACAGATTGCATGTAGAGTGCTTAACAAATGTGTTAAACCACATGTCATAAGTGCCAACTTGTTCCTGAACTGATTCAGAGAAAAACCACCCCCAAAAAACAGTGGTAGCCGACCGACTCAGTCTTATTGCTGTTTTATCCCCATTCTACCGCCATATTGACACACCAGTGTTGATTTGAAGACGGGCAAGTTGACTACAAGTGGTCTCAGACCCTGGTCCCTGACTTTGAAGCCACAATGTACAATTTAAAAATGGTGTCAGACTATGTTAACTGTTCATCTGCACAATTTTATACAATTTCTTCAGATTTACTGCAGATTTTTATTTGTGTAAAAACAAACAGCGGTGGATGGAGCAGCTACAAAGTTTTGCTTTTCTTTGCATCAGAGTTTTTGATCGGGTGTTTCGATGAAGGACTCCCGCTTGCCTTTTTCCACTAAAGGCATTAATGGTGATCACAGGAATAGCAATGCTGTTTACGACACTAGAAACATGTTTTTCTTTCACTCTACCCGAGCTCACCAGCTCGGTAATGGCTCCGCCTCTTTGCTCTTTATGGTGTGTAAACATACTCTGGGTCCACGTTAAACTGTGCCAGCATCATCACTACTGCTGTTATGTTATCAGTGTTTTTGTTTAAAACTGGGGCCTGTTTGGGCTTAATGTTGTCAGACCTTTTAGTCACACGCTGCTCCTAAACACATTTATACTGAAGGTCCATTTTTAGTCGCACATGCGCGTGAAACCCTCATGTTTACATCATTTAACACATCGGCGCAATATAGAGCCATGCGTTAACCGAAGCATCGAAGCAAAGTTCGTGTTGAGAATTTTTTTTTAATAATCGAGTTCTTGGAATTACTCAATGAAATGTTGTAGCCCTGAAATGATTCCTTTACCTACAAGTTATGCTTCTATATGTATGCAAACATGTAACAGCTTAAGTGAGACGCCTCTGGCTCCCACCAGACCACTTGCCATGAAAAATCATCTTATGAATATAGTAAGCTAACAAAGTGCACATAACTCCATCTTTACTGTAGTGATGAGGGCCTCCACGTAGTTGACCCTGTTGTGAACTTTGCAAGCAAGCAAAGAGGAAAAAAAATTTACTTTTGGGAAAAGACACATGCGTGAAGCTCACATGGAACCATGTGTATCATAGATTTGGGCTGGTAGATACCAATATACAGTAGTGTCTGCAGCACCTTGAAGAATAATGGGAAGATACTAGGGAAGACACTGTCCACTGACCATAAAGGCTATAGTACAATATATTGATACACTGCTGAAGCCATTTTATTTAATTGAAGTAAACAAATTGCCTGCAGCTGTTTGTACAGTGAAATGATTACGATTTTTTTTCTGTTGTAAAAGTAGCATCAAGCCTTATCTGGGCTACCTCAACCTGGATAATGTTTCGCAACACTAGAATAGTTTACAGCTTAGCAGCTGTTATGTTATGTATGGGTTAAGTTGCACAGTTGCATCTTGCTGCCTTAAATGGCTAATATTAGGTCCTCATCCCTTATCTCAACCTAATTTCCGAGATGGTTTTACAAATGGGATTTCACTCATTTTCCAAGTTTTTTTTTCTTTTTTCTTTTCAAAGTAGTATTTACACTTATCTGGTTACCTTGGAGATTTTTATACTCCATATTATTACCATATCCATTCCATTCGCTTCCGCTTCTCCTTTTCAGGGTCGCGGGGGGCGCTGGAGCCTATCCCAGCTGTCATAGGGCGAGAGGCGGGGTACACCCTGGTCGCCAGTCTGTCGCAGGGCCAACACACAGGGACAGACAACCATTCGCACTCACATTCATTCGAACACTCACACCTAGTGACAATTTGGATTATCCAATTAACCTAAGCTGCATGTCTTTGGACGGTGGGAGGAAGCCGGAGTACCCGGAGGGAACCCACGCAAACACGGGGAGAACATGCAAACTCCACACAGAAAGACCCCGGCCTGATGTTGGAATTGAACTCAGGACCTTCTTGCTGTGTGGCAACAGTGCTAACCACCGTGGCACCGTGCTGCCCCTATTACCATATCATCATTATTATTATTATTATTATTATTGATTGGTAGTGTAGTAAAGTCTCCACATGGGCTATATTGGCATATTTTATTAGGTTAACTGTTTGTATTCATTTCTGTTCTTATTAATCCTCCTATTTTCGTGGTCTTTTTCCAGGGCAATCAAGGCATTCCAGGAGGTGCTTTACATCGATCCCAGTTTCTCAAGAGCTAAAGAGATTCATCTGAGACTGGGATTCATGTTTAAAGTCAACACAGACTACGAGTCAAGCTTAAAGGTAAATTCAATTCAGTTTTATTTATATAGCACCAAATCACAACAACAGTCGCCTCATGGTGCTTTATATTGTAAGGTAGACCCTACAATAAAAGATACAGAGAAAAACCCAACAATCATATGACCCCCTATGAGCAAGCTCTTTGGCAACAGTGGGAAGGAAAAACTCCCTTTTAACAGGAAGAAACCTCCAGCAGAACCAGGCTCAGGGAGGAGCACCCAACTGATGCGACTGGTTGGGGTGAGAGAAGGAAGACAGGATAAAGACATGCTGTGGAAGAGAGACAGAGATTAATAACAAGTGATTCAATGCAGAGAGGTCTATTAACACATAGTGAGTGAGAAAGGTGACTGAAAAGGAAAAACTCAATGCATCATGGGAATCCCCAGCAGCCTATGCCTATTGCAGCATAACTAAGGGAGGATTCAGGGTCACCTGGTCCAGCCCTAACTATATGCTTTAGCAAAAAGGAAAGTTTTAAGCCTGATCTTAAAAGTAGAGATAGTGTCTGTAAATCTAAATAGATATGAAGTTTGAGACAGAATCCAGTCTGTGTTTTAAGGATTTTATTTCAGTGGTGTATATCTTCCACCTTGTGTTGTTGTATTTTCACTGAGATGGTAAAATATGTTGGACTGAACTGAAGCATGCATGCACAGATAAAATGGGTGATCTGAGGTTGCTATACCGAGGCTGCAGAACAATGTCCAACTTAATAGGATGCACTGTTAGAGCAGCGGTCCCCAACCTTTTTTGCGCCACGGACCGGTTTATGCCCGACAATATTTTCATGGACCGGCCTTTAAGGTGTCGCGGATAAATACAACAAAATAAAACTAGTACCGGTACCGAAAAAAAGAAGATTTATTCATAACACACGTGAAAAGACCCAGGAAAACCGAGTAAATGATAAAAACGATAACAAAATAACGCTGAAAACCGATAAAAACCCTGAAAACCATACATTTCACACCTGAGCCTCAACTCTCGCAGCCCGGTACCAAACGACTCACGGACCGGTACCAGTCCGAGGCCCGGGGGTTGGGGACCGCTGCTGTAGAGGACTACTGAACAGATGTTGTCTCACACATTTTAATAATGAAGTTACTGATTTCAGTTGGAATATTCTAAATATCTTGAACTATCCATCACAAAGGACTTGGGGTGACAACTCTGGCTGTGGTCTGACGTGATTTAATAAATGTAGTCAGAAGTAAAGCCATAGGGAAGCAGGCGAGCTATCTTATCTTGTAATGTTGTCATAACAACCTTATCAGCTAATATTGGAGGGATACTGGAAGCATTTGCTATTGTGGGTGTTTATGAAGTGTATTATACAGTCTTACTTTGTTCCTTGCACATCTAAAGGTTCTGCACCCACAGCTGATAGAAGTGCAGCTAGAACAAATATATACATTTTGACTCGAGTCATCAGCAGAGTGTCCTTGCCTGATGAGAGTGCTGGAACAATTGAATCATTTTGCATTCATGCCACTTAAGTTTCATGAATTCCGATGTACAGTCACAGATAAGAGCCTTTTAACTTTTTAGATAATTCTGACCTCCCTAGTCCTTTGGATCAACACAGGCTGCAGGATCATCTGTCCTGTGTGTCTGTAATCCCCGGATACTTGTGAGTTGTCGAGACAGTAACAAAAGGAAAAAGGCATTCTAACTTTTAGCTGCCGATCTGTTGTCGGGGATCCCTCTGGGGATTGATTGCTCTGATCCTAGGCTTTGTCCTGTTTCAGACGTTATGTCACACTAGCATACTTATGCCAGTGCACTACAGAAGTTTAGACATGCCAACTGGATATTACAAGTTAAAAAAAAGTAATATTTATTACACTGCCATCGCAGAGGATTTTATTCATGGTGATTATTTATGAAATAAAAGTTCAAATAACCAGAACTAAGAATAGAAAACTAACTAAGAAAAGATTAAATTCCAATAAGTTACAAGTAAGTGTCAATATTGCAGCAATAGGTGCATCAGTGTATTTAACACTCTGAATGACCACAGTCAGAAAATAGCAGGGGAAGCGTCGTTAGCAACAACAACGGTAAAACTATCTCATGTCCGCTTGTTTATTTTCCACATAAACCTTTCACAATAAAGCTCAAGATCCTGTTGAGACTTTTCAAAATAAACTGAATCATGTGAAAGAGTATGCAGAGTGTTTATGGATGAAAAGCAAAAAAGAGCCGTCAGGTGCTAAAAAATAAACCTTAGCCTCAAACGTTAGAACAGGCTTTTCCCCGCAACATGCCGTGTGATAAATACTCACAAAGAAAATGGCGGCCGTTAAAACCTATGTCAAAAAATGTGTAGTTTCATGCATCGGTTAAAGTACACGACGCCCAGCTGAAAAACACTTCACCTTCCCGAGATTCACAGAATTTACAGAAAATATTAAATTTTTTGTGATTTATATCGTTATCGGGACGATAGATGTTTTATATCGGGATATGAGATTTTGGTCATATCGCACAGCCCTATTCATACATTACTAAATCTTTTGGGGAAGGTATAATAAGTGCCAGACACACAAACTCAGACACATATCGCTGTGATCTCAGTCAGCAGCACAGGAGCTCCTCCTCTCCTCTGATGCCCATGGAGGATCTAGAAGGAAAAAGGTCGAGGTGGTCACATTTTCTTAAAAGTAAGTTGTGAGTTAGTGTTGCCTGATCTCCCTGACTTTCTTTTTTTCAGTCAGACTAAGTAACCTAGTTTGAATGTGAGTAGAAATCCTGCCGAAACACGTTTGAGCGGTATGGTTCAGAGGTCTATGAATTCAAATAAATTTGTCATTGATAGAAAAAAGCTGCAACATGCACATTTAAACAGTTCTCTCTCCAAAGAAAACACACCGACATCAGATTAACAGATAAGATGACACAAGAGGAAGTGCATGTAGTCAGCAAGGTGAATTACATTCCCAGAATACCGACAGTCCTGTATATGTGCAAGAAACGAAGTGTGCAACACTCGGAATTTAAGGTGCATGACACGTGTCTTAACTATATCAAGCAAATATTCTGTATTGGTTAATGGTGAAAGAAGTATTTCCTAAAGCTTGACATTTTCAGTTTACAGTTTATTACCAAAGGTTTTAAGAGTTTATACACATGGTGTTCTGTGGAGCTAACTAGGCTGCACGCGTTGCACGTCTTCACTCGGTGTTGGAGGCCACCCCTCCCTGTTTGTTCTGGCTCGCTGCCAACACATATACACACACACAACTGCCCCACTTATCTAAAGGGAGGGGTGGTCTCTCACGCAGAGGAGCTGAGATTGAATAAATGTAAGAAACAGAAATGAGAAAGGAATCAGAAACTGTTTTCTGTAGTAAATGCGTGCAGGAGGGAGAGGGAGGGAATGTAGAAATGGACTTTCAAGAAGGATGCATGTTTCAAGGCGCAGAGCATCAAGTGACTCTAAGAACACATTGCAATGTGAATCACTGCATGTAACTGCACCAAACTTGGATTTACCATAAAGCGCAGACAATTTCATCCCATTAGTGTCTGCTAATGTGGTTAATGAGAGAAGAGGAAATGATTTGGCCCCAGTGTGCTTTAAATTGAGGTTATATGAGTTGGCTGCTTCTGTAGAGCTGCGTAGCCATAGAGAAGAGCTTTGAGCTGAGAAAGAGAGGTGAGATTTGGGTTGGGTGAGGGAGGGGGGGATGTAGAGGTGGTGTTTCCCTGCCTGTTCCAGCTTTGAGGTATTGTGTGTCATCTCTCAGCACTCTCCACTGCAGCCGTCTGCTGAATAGTAATCAGTGACACCAGGATAGAAGAGGGGGAAGGAGGTGGCGTGAGAGAGGGAGGGAGAGAGACAAAAAGAAAGATTGCAAAGAGACAGAGAGAGAGTGAGGAAAGCGAGACATGGGGAGGGAGGTGGAATGCCAAGCTGACAATCCTGCTGCATTATCTGCCTGATGGTAGAGCAAGTGTGAAAGGAGGGAAAGGATAGAAGAGGCTGAGGCGGAGATCTACTGGAGGATGCTGTGGGGTTCCATGAGGAGTGTGATGTGAAAGCGATCTAGGTAAAAGCATTTGTCTTTGCCTCTGTTGCTTGACATTAAAGCATGTGGATGCAGTTGGAGTGTCTGGTGTTTAGTGGCTCGTAGCGCTGTTTAAAAGGGAGTTTGTCCTAAGCAGGGTCCTCTGTGTGTGTCTGCATGCGTGCGCATGCATGTGTAAGTGTGTGTGTGAAGCTCCACTGGCCCAGGGTGAAGCATGCAAAGAAAGATCCAGCTGGACGGCTCTTGATTTTTATCTGGCTGACATTGACCGTCTGTGCGGCTGCTGTCGCTCCAAGACAGCGGGCGCCTCCTTTTTCTGTGTGTGCCTGTGCTTATAGCTGTCTTTTTCCCCAGCATGGACCGCTGATACCGGTGCTTGCCTTTTAAGGTTAAAGCAAGAAATCCTCTTTAATTTGACCAGTTCAGCAACAGCAGCAGTACAGTTTGTTCCAAAAGTGTGCGTGCCATTGAAAGAAGTTCAAGGTTTTGGGATTTTCCTCGTGCTCAGGTGCTGACAGGTTTTACTGACCCAGATTCTAGTGGTGCCTTTTTAAATGCACAAAGCATCATTTGGGACTGTATAGGGTTACAGTGCAGCAACCCTAGGGACTGAAAAAGGGCTCCAGTGATTCGTCCAAATAATCGATGACATCAACTATAAAAATTAATTGATGGGGGAATTTTATTGTCGATGCATCATATCATAAATTTATTTTTGTAACTGCAATACACTACAGGAAGCTATAGGGCAGTATCGCCTATATCGTCTGCCAAGACTGCAGATAATACTAACGAAGAAGAACGTAGCGCGAACGGCAAAACAGGAGGACGGAAGAAAATAGAAACTGAGATTTTAAACAAAAGTTATTTGCAGAGTGTCCAAACTGGCACTTTCCTTCCACGACAGGACTACTGCTGTGCACGAGCATTTAAAACGCCGGCACCCTGGAGTTGTGACGTCAGCTCTGAATGCTTCAGTTTTAGGGAGTTCAGTGCATCACGTTAATACTTTATGTTCAAATTTGTCCAGTAATGTTTATGTTAGATTACCTATCGGAACTTTCTCATGCATGATGCTTGCTAAGCGAACACCATTTCAGTTTTGTTAGCTAAAGAGTGAAATGTGATAATGTAGCTACTCCTGTATGCTAGTTTGTTTGGTTTTTGGTTTTTTTCTCACATTATTATTAGTGTTTATTCTGAATAGTAATTAGTACAAGTTTCTGGGTCATAATTTTATTTTGCTGTGGGCCGAGACAACACAGTGATATTCACAGGTGGGAAGACTTGACTATGTGAAACACTGGAGCCTAGAAGAGGAGGAGGTTCACCCACTGGAAGTGGAGATAAGCATAAGTGAAATGATCGTTGACTAATTGAAGAAAAATTGGCAGATTAGTTAACTACCGAAATAAACTGCAATGAAAACTGTCACCTTGAAGCCGCTTATAGACAGGACATCTTGCTGGAATTTACATTTCACTTTCTCGTATAATGAACTTGAATACAGTTAAAATTACAGCAGTGTGTCAGCAACATCTGGGCATTTTGTGGAAGAACTAAAGGGAGTCCGAGAAGGCCAGAAGAGCTGTGTGACTTGGGCTAATCAGTTCAGTGACCCCATATAGAAGGCATTTCCTGGTACTGTGGCACGCCTTGGCCTCTGCAGACATCTGCCTTACCCAGAAACCCTAGTTCAGATGATGGAATTGGATGCCATTAATAGCCTGCCACTGGATATCAGCGTCTCATTTTGAGGACAAGTTGGACAGGAGAAAGGAGGGGTGAGATTTGTGCCTTAGCTTTTCCAGCTCTATGTCCTCTCTTGTTGCAGTGGCAGGAGTTCATTTATGGTTTATTAGGAATGCTGGGGATTTGGGTAATGCACATTAGTTGGAGAAGAATAGAAATTTCTCCACGATTTCCTTAAAAGTATCACTCCTGTGCTCTGTGCTCTCGGAAAAAACTAGGTTAAATAGTTTTTGTTTGTTTGTTTGTTTTTAATCTTGTCACAGAGATGTTTGATTTGTGTGAATTTGCTTTCACACTAAAATGATTAAATTTTTTTCCCCTCTCTGCAGCATTTTCAGCTGGCTTTGATCGACTCCAAACTCTGCACTTTGTCCAAAGCTGAAAGTAAGTATAGGTGCTATAATTGTTCCAGCCAACCAGTCACACGCTACAACGTAAAGTATGATCACATATGATGTGCCGTGTTGCTAGTGGTATGTAACACATATTGAAAGGGCATAGGAATATTTCTACAGAGCAGATTTTTTTTTCTCTCTCTCTGTTGCTGTTTCCCTGCTGACTCTGCCCAAGACTGGGGTTGCCTAGGAGACAGCACAAGGAGAGAGAGCGAGCTGGAAGTGCTTTCAAGCACATTGCAGATACACACTGTGATTTCAGATTACATGTACACTCTGGGGAAAGTGTCCTACTCCCCCTCCCATCTGTGCTCCATAGTGCTAGCAGTCTGTACCCACTGAGCTTCATGGAGCCATTATCTAGCTTAATTTCTCTCTTTGTTTGGGTTTTTTTGTTGTTGTTTTATTTCACTAATTTCTAATTTCTCACCCCCACAGTTCAGTTCCACATCGCTCATTTATATGAGATCCAGGTAAGCAATCGATAAATGTGGGCCAAACAATTTCATGTTGTACTCAATTAATATAGCATCATGCACCTGCTATAGCTTTATATTGATTTAACAATTTCTCTGACAAGGGAAGACCTTCAGTGTAATCCAGCCTTTTTAAGAACTCAGATACTGTGGCTTATAAGAACAACTGTACTGTTTATTCATAAGTATAAAATAATTCAATTATTAAAAAATTATGATGAACAACACCAGTAATATAAAGCTTTAACTTCTAACTATTATTGTTTGGCTCAAAGGCTGCTGGGAATGATTCAGGGTATATATAGGTACATTACACCCCTACTTTGTACTAGACAACTGGTGTCGATGAGTTACTATATCTAGGTATTGTTTTTATTTACATGTATCTGTCCCTTTGCCTTGTTTAGGCCAAGTTTGAATATGCCATTATGAAAATATGCTGCACTGGGGGTAGAGCAGGTTATTTACTAAGTGGAAGGTTGTTGGATCGATCCCTGGCTGCTCCAGTCACAGATCCCAAGTTGATGCATCCATCAGAGTGTAAATGTGTGTATGTCAGGTAGAAAGCACTTAGGCATAGAAAAAAAAGTGGTTTTTTGAATGGGTGAATGAGGCATGTTGTACAAAGCGCTTTGGGTGCTCAGGTAGAGCAGAAAAGCGCTATATAAGAACCATTACTGATACTATCATGTTGAAACAACATGATCAGGACCTGTTGGAAAATCTGTCAATTAACTACAGAACAGTGTTTTGTTCAAGTATTATCTAAAACTAAATGACTCTAAATGTCAGATCTTGTAGGTAATGGCAGGGCTTCATTACCAAGAGGTGTTTTTATTGTGTGCAGACAGGAAGAGTCTAGAGCCAGACTGTATGTGCAAGGTCTGCACATACAGTCTGGTGGATTGGTTTTTAAAAGGCTATTTTAGACCTGATAAGAGAAGATTCTGTGCATGCACTGACATTACTCTACCTGATGATCTAGACAAAAGGTCAGTAAGCCCACTAAGTTGAAACAAACCCTTGGTTCACCAGCAGGCAGCTCAGATTTCCCCAAAATACAAACCGTTCCTTTTTGTTAAAGCACACAAACATTTTAGTGCAGACACACACACCTGCCAGACTTGTTGAGTCTGGCAGGCCTGTGCTCTTTCACACTGACCCTCCCCCCGTGTGTTTGTCTGTGTATGGAAGGACACTATGAGTGTGAGGAGGTCTTTAAAGTCTTTGTCTGTCTAGATAAAACCATAAAACACTGGCTTTCCTGTCTGGCCTAAACAACCCCCATGTCTACTTCTCTTGCTTGTCCTCCTCTTCCTGTTCTCCCCGCAGAAGAAATACAGAGCAGCGAAGGAAGCGTATGAAAGTCTGTTGCAGACGGAAAATCTTCCTGCACAAGTGAAGGCGACCACACTGCAACAACTTGGTGAGTGACCTTTGCTAATGTAGGCCGATGCTCATGTCCACATGTGAAATGTACCGGATTAAACTGGCTGAAAGTATCTTCAGGCTCGGTTGGTTCGATTCCCGGCTTCCCCTAGTCTGCATGCTCATTTACCATTTACCATCCTGCAAAGAATGGGGGGAAAAAACCATCTGCAACCAGTGATTGCTATAATCGTTGTATTTTTACATCAAATGTTGTAATAAGTGGATTTTTATCTAGTTTGATTAAATAATTCTGGCTTTATTTACTCAGGCATTGGTTTCTCTGTGTGTGTGTGTGTGTGTGTGTGTGTGTGTGTGTGTGTGTGTCTCAGTATTAATCAAAAAAATTCATACATTTATATAAAAATTTTTTTTAAAAGGACCACACGCTGTGATGATGTTGGTAAATTTGTTATATACACTTGCTGTATTACCTATACCTATTTAACTGCTTGTTAATGCAGATATCTAATCAGTGAGTCACAGAATAGCAACTCGTTGTATTTGGGTATGTAGACAAGAACAAGATGACTTATTGTAGTCCAAACTGAGCATCAGAATCGGGAAGGAAGATGATTTTAGTGATTTTGAACATGGCATGGTTGTTGGTGCCAGGACTGGTCTGGTAGGAACTATCCAGTGAGCAGCAGTTATTTATGTTCATGCCAGAAGTCAGAGAATAATGGCCAGAATGTTTTGAATTAATAGAAAGACAGCAGTAACTCGGGATAAGCACCGGTTACAACCAAGGCAGGAATGCACAACATGTTGAACCTTGAAGCAGATGGGCTACAGCAGCAGAAGACCACAGCAGAAACTGACAGTATACTTTGCACAGGTTCACCAAAATGCCAAGATAACCAAGGTAGTGAGGCGCACAGATTAGTTTGTTTGGTGTATTTGGCTTAGTATGTTTGTATATAGTTGTGGTAACCACTGTTGTATCTATCAGGACTTGCTGGAAATTGGTTTTTGGCTAAAACTTCCCATTACAGATGATTTACAATGCTTGCAATAGCCCTGCCAACCTTGTGAGACCACTAGGAATTGCCATAGATTGCTGTCAAGTAGGGGTGGGCGATATAAACGATATACGATAGAAACGATACCGCTTTTTGACTATACCGCTCTATCGCGATAGAGGCGCATGTTGATGACATCATCAACATGCGCCTGTTTTGGTCGAAAGCATCGCAGCGGCTACAACCATTATCATCTGCAAATTATGCCAGGCGACAGTAATGGCAAAGAGATGAAGCACTTTTGAAATATGGGGAAAGCCAAACACTGCGCTTCCTCCACTTCCGTAACATTGATTCATTAATGTTGAATTCTCTCGCAGCTGTTCTAGTCCCATGTTGTTGCACAATACAACTAACCTTGTATTGTGGATGAATAATCTCAGTTGTTGTCCTGACTGAAGTTTGGCATGTGTATAGCATCCTGCTATGCGATTGCATTTGTCCCTGACCACCAGAATCCCTCACGTTAACTTTTATCGAGTGGAAAAAACGTTGGCGTTCATCCTCCAGCTTCACTGTGCTAATGTTATGCTAACATAGCTGTGTTGCTAGCAATCACGTAGCACAACATTATATACCAGGTAGTCCAACTTCAGTAACCCTGCAAACACCATCGCTGTTTAGTTTTCTGTCTTTGTTTATGTTGGAAGTGGTAGCAGAGCTGTACATTTTAATTAGTTTCAAAAATCTCTCAGTCAGAACATGGTATGTCATGTTTAGGTGGAAACTAGCGAGCTAACTTCCTGCTAACTTCTCACTCCGTTAAATTGAATAAATTCTGTTTTCATGGATGTTAAACTTAATTGTTACACCTGGTAAAGCAGCAACGCTGATGAAAGAATTTAGACAGTTTTTAACTCTGTGTTCGTTTGACTTTGGGACCTGAAGCCGACGGAGTTTTGGACCCATATACTCCGCGAAGCTCCTCACTACGGCAGTCGTAATGCTCTGACAATCCACCAAAACATTTTTTAACAGATTTCTGCACGCCAAAATCGGTTCGAGGTCAGTAAGCACAACCAGAATTCATACATAAGGCACACTCGATAAAACAGGCGGAGTGAGAACACATCCGGGAATTTTTTGCGTTCTCGGCTTGATGCGTACTTTGAATTGGAACAGTACTTGGTCTCCGACTGATGACGTATCACGAGTACACAGGAACGCAAGTACACATAAGTACGCATATGTGGTTACACAGGTGTATAGGAGAAGAGCTGTGGGAGGTTTGTCATTGCTCATTACAGTCTTCCTGAGCCTCTGTGTTTGCTTGAAATTGCCCAGTTTATGTGTGTGCACGCACACGTACTTGTGCGTGTGTGTGTGCACACACACTTGTGCGTGTGTGTGCTTGAATGCAGGGAGGAGCTGTTTGTAAAGGCTGGTTCATATCAGATGTTTAAGCGTTTTGAATATAACTGCTTCTTTGACTTTTTCCACTGTTACTCTCATTAAAGTTTCAGAAAGTAACAAGTTTTTATTTATTTGATCTGTTTTTTTTCTTTTTTCTCCTTTGGCAGACAGAACTTAATCTTATCAGAAATCTTACCTTTTTCATTACATTTAAAAAAAAAAAAAAAAAAAAGTGGATTTTGATTTATAACACTTGTATTCTCCTTTGGTATGTAATCATCACTAAATAAAAAAACAAAGCCAGGAGGTTTGTTACAGTTGAATCGTGAAGGCTGATGTTTTGTTTTGCTCTTCTCAGGCTGGATGCATCACACAGTGGAACAGTTGGGGGATAAAGGCACCAAGGACAGCTATGCCATCCAGTGTCTGCAAAAGTCTTTAGAGGCAGACCCAAACTCTGGCCAGTCTTGGTACTTTCTTGGCAGGTACGAAATCAAAGGACGCGGCTGTTTGCGTATTATCTTGTATTGTGTTGTGAAATTTAATTAGACGGCATTTGACAGCAAATTCTGATTTAGTTTTAGTCGTAGTCTTTTGGCTGACCTTACTATATATGAAGATTATTTCTGATTGGATCACTTCCAAACACGTCCCACCTTTCTGCACAACTTAATCGGATCTCATGTCTTCAAATTCATTAGTTTTTATTTAGTTGTCATCTTCTTTTCATCACAAAAAAAACACTTGTTGCCAAAAACATGACATAACACTGTTAGAAGGCATCACAAGATAATTTGTTTGTTTTTTAGCAACCTTAAAATCTAGCTAATGCTTCAGGATGTTACAATGCATGCTCCTGTGCTGCTGTTTCGGTTGAATGTAGTAGATGCCCAGTCTTGACCATGGGGCCAATGCTGTCCTTGAGGTTACAGCCTAAGCAGGGGAAAAAACAAAAAAAGGCATCCCTTAACTGGGTTATTGGTCTTTGCATAATATTCCTTTTAGACTAAGCAGTCTTTACTTGAGTCACTATGTTGGTGCACTAGAATCGGCCTTGCCTGATGACCCACATAAATAGACCTTCCTCTGGATCAGGGTGCTTTTCAGTTCACCGACTTAAAGAGTTTCTAGTTATTCAGGAAAATAAGTTGAAACTTGCTGCACAATAGTCAGCATTCAACACTGTAAAATCACTTCACCATAAAACACCATCTGCACTGGTTTTTTGACTCTGTATTTTGAAGCTTCAACTTTAAAACAGTTGATCATATGTGGACAGTGTGTAGCGTTACCAGCTTGCTTAGCAGGCTGCATGTGTAAACTGTATAGATTTGCAACACACGTCTGGTAATTGGTGCTAACCAGCAGACTAATAAATACCAGAATTTCACTCACCAGATCTGGGCAAACAGCAGGCATTCTTAATATTTTGCCAATTATTAAAAGCCTTACAAGCCTATGTGACCAATTATTGGTCTTTCATTAGGGCAAGTAGCTGTTTAGGTAGAAAAGCTTTTCTACTGCTTGGAAGCTGAAAGCTGCTCTTGCTCTTGATATAGCCATCTGAGTGATACCATGTGCTTAGTAGTCTAAGGAGCTTGGAAAGAAAAGCGCCTGGAGTTTCCTTGAAGACGTTTCACCTCTCATCCAAGAAGCTTTTTCAGTTATAAGTGCAATTTGTGGAGAGTCCCAGATTTAAGCCCTATTGGGAGTGTCCCTAAGATGGCCATGGACCCCCTATTGATCCTCTGCCTAATCACACGAGCCAAGGTGTGAAA